AATGCGTTTTATGTAATTTTATGTATCGTAAACCTATTTATTCTTGATATACTCCGAATACCAAAGCGACGGCAAACAGTGAACTGTTTATAAAACTACATTCCGCAAAGTTATCCGCTTTCTCATCCCAGCAGCACATGCTTCCGATCCGAATCGCCTGCCCCATCTTCGGACCAATATGCGTGATGCACACGATCTTGTATCGATCGAAGCCGAGCAGTTTCACCTGGGACTTGACCTCGTCGGAGATTTGCAGGGTTAGATCTCGGCACACCTTCGGCTCGTAGCTTACATCGGCGAGTCTCCTGACCAAGATTTCCTCGGCGATTCTTTTAACAGCAGCTGTGAAGGATCAGTGACAGTATTAAAAAAGAGAGTTATTTTAATTGCCGTGAAAATAAACAAATTGACGTTTCATCTTTTCGGTTCCAGTCCATACGAAAAAACTATATAAAGAGTTTCCTTAATGTTCTGAATGTTTCATGGAGAGAAACAACTCTTATGTCTTCTCATTACTTCCTTGCTGGACATTGTATTGAAGATGTAAAGAGAAATTAAACGTTCTTCTCTTAGAGATCATTTATACATGCATATGGAGTTCTATAAACGGCGGAGCGCTTAATAATAACTCTGATCTCATCGGTATAAATCTCCTTCTAGAAAACGGAATAGTTTGAAGGTTCAGCCTTTCCCATTTGCGGCATTATTTTGAAAAGAAGTACTTGACTTATAATTAGCAATTTAATGAGCAAATCACGGAAGCTTAATTCTGTGGAAAAACCAATATCGCTCTCTCAGCATCACTTAGTACTGAGTTGACAAAAATAGTTTTAAGAAAACAAACAATCTGCTTTTATATTTGCAGGAGAAAGTTCAGTACCATACGATTTATTACGAGAACTTGATAACTAACTTACCGGTTGAGAATTTTTTCTGCGGGTCTGGCCCTACACGGTACGTGTTTTCCAAAGTAATCTTGTCCGCTTGACCACTTTGCTCCGACTCCTCTAAGAATTCATCTTCTCGAATCGAACTTCCACTCTTAAGTCTAACACTAACGCTTTCATACCCTTGTAGTTGGTTTAGAGGAGCTTGTGGTGGCTTCTTGACGAGAAAGCTCCGAGTAGAAGCGAGCGAAAGGCTTGTTTTTCGAACTTTACTTTTCCCTGGCAAGCTCTGTAGTGCGTCCGCCATGTTGGACACTTCAAGTGAATTCATGATGCCAAAATTCCGGTTATAACTTTGGGCCGTGTCAGGAAGAGAAATATTTCGTCATTGAAATACTTGTCGGAATATTTTGTCTCCGTTTTTCCGTGAAAACAATGCCAATTTTATTGATAACAACAAAGGCAAACTTAATGCGAACTACCTTGGGTTTTGCCCCATTCAGAACTTAATGACCCGTCAAATCGCGGTCTTTTTGTTTGTTTTCTAAAAACCTGTGAAAAGTAATAATAAAAATGTTCTTTAATTGCCTCGAGGGAAATTAACTTAGAACGTCGGTGTTTGGCAAAGACTTTGAAATGTTGCGCCTTCAATACTTCTCAATCTCGCTTTGAAGATTAAGCCATTGAGTAAGACAATGGTTAAGCCGGTTAATTGTAAACAAGAAACAGAGTGGAACAGTGGAAAAAAAATAAGAAATGCAAAAAAAAAGAAAAAAAGAAAAAAAAAAAATGACGAGATTAACATGGCAATTTTAAAACGCAAGGAATCCTAAAAGGGATTGTTTAGGGAATCACAAGATTATAGAAAGGAACCTTTTTAAAATGCAAACACTAAGAGCAGTCTTCAGTCTTCACATCAATCGCATTCTCATATTAGTTAGAACAAATATCTGAGAAAGTTCTTCCATACTGGAAAATAATTGGATGCTGCCCTTTCGTGTGCAAATAAGCCGACTATACTTTGTGCAGATTCAACAGACTCAATCGATCTGGACAATCCAGTTCTCTCGCGGACCTTCTGATATTCCAAGCTTTTGGTTTATAAAGCGGTTTTCATTTGACTGTCGTAAAACCAAAACGAAAGTAATCACTTAAGCCAATCACAAAAGACACAGACAATCTAGCGAATCAATCAAAATTCGGAGTAAATCCATGAAGCTAATGCAAAGCGCGGGAAAACGTGTGCGGACAAGTCAGGATTAGTTTCTGTTTTACTTCCGATTGGTTGAGAAAAAAATTTGTGCTAGTTTGTAGCGAATAGTTCTTTAGCACTCTCGGTTTCTCAGAGGAGAAAAAATAAGTAGAGAGCCAGAAAGTAAGAAAATGGCTGATAGTTATGCCAAACCATTACGCTTAATGTAGCAGATGGTGCACACAGTCAGTTGAATTTGTGTGGTGCAGTGTTGAAGTAAATTCTAATTTGAAGTCTGTAGCAATTTTTGGTGTGGGCACCAGACATGCACGATTTTGCACACTGGATTAAACCTACCCCTTATCTGATATCTCTTTACTTCGAAAGGATTCCCGACACCAAAAAATACTGAATTAGCCAGCGTAGTCTTTGAAAGAAGAAACGAGAAATACACTTCGCACCAATAAACAGCACCTTTATTATGGTAGTTTGAAGCTGTACAGAAGTTTAATCCGCCTTACAGATCCCACGGCAAGCATTGCCTTAGTCAACACTCGAACCCGTGATGCCAACACACAAACTTACCTCGGCACATTTCTTTTAGTATTAACAAAGAGAATTGCATCAAATAGTGGAAACCAGATGTAAACGAGCAAGCTCATTTGTTGGATTGAAAGAGAATTAATGAAATTATGTCGGTTTTAGCGAAATAGCCGAGAATTGGTCAAAACTTTTACCATAACTTATCGCTGAAATCTGGGAGCTGTAGTTACCGATATTTTAAAAATGGGCTGCAATTTTAATTGTTAGCTGAAAAATCGTCAAGATTTGACTGGCAACTGAGATACCATGTAGCTGTCCAATCCAGACCCTCTTACTAAAATTGCGAGATTCGTTATATCCCACTCCCGCGTTATATCGCGAGATTTGTAACATCCGTGCGCGGAGTTTGCTCTTTACTTCCGGTTTACACTTGCACTGTATTTTCTTGAATTTCCCCTAAGTGATTAACTACTATATTCCCATGACTTAAACGCTTGACTTTGTATTAACAATTTGAGGGGAAGCTAGCTCTCCATTTAAATTTTTGCACAAAGTGCAAAAATTCCCAATCACATTTCAAAGTAGCTAAAAGGTCATGCCATGTAATGGTCACGCCATGTCATAGTCACACCAGGTCATAGTCACCCTAGGTCAAGCAAGTTTCTTACCTCTTTTATTTCTAAGCTGAAAAAGGTTAAAACGGACATGAAACTTGAACTTACTAATAAAATCTCCGCTATGTTACGAACAAACATTATCTATGGGCGTAAGTTAATTGCTTTCGACTCGAAAGAAATCTCTTTTTTTTTTCGATTTTGAACTAAGCTTCAACCGCAGTTTTGCAAAGATTTTACGTTATAGGAAAAGGCGTCATTCTTACTTAAACTAACAAAAGGCGTTTCAGTATAAGCAAAGAATTTCGTGATATCTACAACAGACTCTTTCAACGAACCCTTAACTCTTAATCTTTAAGTCTCCCTTGCTTATTGCTAATAACATTTCAGTTTAAATATCAAACAGTATTGAGGATATTACATGTGATTCCTCCAGTTGATGGTTTTCTTTGAAATTTTTTCACCTTGCGAAGCGTTAACGCATAGATCTAAATTTGCTGATCGATAATAAAACAGTCCGCATTTTGAAATTTAGAGACTCTTTGTTGTCGTTAAATTGATGCAGGTATAATCTTAATGAAAGTTTACTACAGAAAACTTGAAAACAGGAAAGGTATTCGAGTACTTTAGAGAATTGGATATGAATATCCGCCATTTTGGATTTTAACTCTCCAGCGCGCGGCCATTTTGGATCCCGTGACGTCACAAGGTTGAAGAAATACTCTAACATTTATTTTCTTTTAACAAATTTTAAGTTGACACTACGATTAAGTTAAACGTAATTTGCTCCAACAGCGGAGGCTTTTTTGTTATAGTTTCAAGACAAAATCCTAATTATACGTTTAGCAGTTTTTTAAGGTACGCGGCAGGCAATATGGTTCCAGACTCTCTATAAAGCTACTCTTCGCGAAGTACGTATAACGCAAATTAGAAAAAAATATCATACGCATTTCAGTATAATTTGCCAATTTTCCCCGTAACAGAACATCGAGCTACATTCTACATTTTTTTTCGACAAAGGCAGTTAAAAAATACTTGCCTCTGCTTGCTTCAGTAGAATTTTACAATTTGCAAAGTTTTTGCCGAAATCGATACCAGTTTTTAAACCCTAAAGACTATTTACACCGTGGTTTGCTTCATATAATTACATCTCCGTTAGTAACTTCACTTTTCACTTCCTAAATAATTATGTCGTTTACCCAGACAAAATACGATAGTTAAAACCAGATAAGATGTACCACACCGAGACCGGAAATATATACAGGCTCTAGTTAATTTGTCTTTCAGAGTAACTTTCGTCTAACAACATCACAAAAGGACCAATGATTGACAGGTAAACGATCACAAATTTCCCATGAATTATAGTTCGGTTTTTGTCAACGTAATTTTCTGCTTAAATTGTAAATTTTGTTGAGGTTCAATGCGAATACGTTTGTTAAAATGTCAATTGCATAAAGATAACATCGGTTAAATCTTTCTTTTTTCTAATTTTTATTTTGACGTCTAATAACTTTTCTCCGCCACGCGAGAATAGAACTAAAAAATAACGTATTACCGCTTAATATTAAGATACAGTGCCTTTGGGACGCTGTATCCTGCTTATTAATAACGCATATCAAATTTTATCGTGATATTATTAACCCGTATTAATTAAACCCTTATTAGTAGTCTTAAGCTCAAGTTTCCTAAAGAGGCTGATAAGCCCGATTAATCTAACCCAGGATTAACGAGAATTTTGATTTGAGTTTTGTAACTAACTTTTCGGTGAGGTTTTCAGTTTGTATTGTTTGGTTGTCTGTTTTGAGTTTGAATAATCTCAAACTACACAAAACATAAGAACTGAAAAAACATTTTGACACCAGGAAAATTAATACTTCCTTTAACTTTTAATCCTGAATTAGCGTTAACCGCCTTTCGAACAACCCTGCCCTGCAGTACAATTATTTATTGCGGTATTTGTACTTGGTAAAAAGCACCATCGCACACAGGTCCAAGTACTCGACCAATGTCAGGAGACTGGCGCCGAGGAAGAGACCAATCTGACCACCCACGTCACCTGAAAGATGCCGTATTGACTGATAAGTTGATAAAATAGTTATTTTAATCGGTTAAGTTGGTTTACAGCCAACTCTTTTAAACGGTGTCCAGGGCAAAGTGCGAAGGGACTTCGAACATACATCAGTTTGAATATAGCTCAGGTGCTGATCACCGCTGGAGCCAATATAGTGCTCTACAATGAAGGAGCTGTTATAGCGAATTATGTTGTGAGACTACTCAGTTATGACAGTTTGAATACATATGAATCTTGTCATGCATCACGGCATTGTCCCCGTAGTTAATGAGATTTTTTACTGATTCCCGTCACATGTTTGATTAAGACTGTCTTGATGTTACGAGGAGAAATTACAAGTTGATCTCACATCGTAATTGGAACATGGAGAAGTTAATACCTGCCGGAACGTGAGCGTTTCCGACGAATATTGTAGCATTGGCCTTTCAATCAGAAGACATGAACGCTCTAAAAGATTTGCTTCTTTAGTTTTGGCAATGATGATGGGCGAGCTTTAGTGTCCGAGAGGGCGATAATAGAATATGTTGCTTACCTAATAAGCTATAGAGATCGTAGCTTGGAACCTGCCTGACGTCAGAGAAAGTCAGGCTCTCGTAATAAATCCTCAACTCAAGCAGGTTGTCCCTGAAACGTAAAAAAAAAAACTTAAATACAAGCTTCATGTGAGACAGAACAAACACACAACATGGCAGGCTGAAGAGTATAATCTGCTTTGTCGCTTCACATATTCATCTCCATTGGTTTCACAGGGCGTCTCATCACACTTCTTATTGTAGATTTACGGAAATGTTTTCATGCTATCCAATACCTAAACTAATCGCGGATAAGTTTCAACCTGCACAGAAAATCCTCCTTTTATCTTGCATGGAATGATCGAAATGAAGACCGAACGATTTTTCCAAAAAATAACATTTTACTATACCTGAGATATTGCCTGTTTTCCTGAATTGTGCCCGTCATATTCCTCTGTTTAGACAGCAGCTTGTCCGCATAGGTGTTAGCAGGATAGCGTGCGTAGGATAACTGTGCTGAAAACTCCACGCTTTCGCATGCCACAGGACACTTATCCAATTTCTTCTCTTGGAAATATTCTGAAAGGATTACAAGAAAAACGAGAAGAAAATAGTGTCATAACCACACAGTATATTTAAATACCTTATAATATGGCTAGCTAGTTCCGCGAGCGGTTTCGATGAATTAAATACTCTTATTTGATTAGCTACCCGAGCCTACCTTGCCCGCGCTGGACTACCCGCTGTTTTCCGCGAGAATTTCTTTTTATTTGACACCGCGATAAATTTGAACTCGGTACAATTTTCCGCGGGAAAATTGGGTTCTTTATGCCATATTATAAATCCTTTATTAGCAAAGCTTATTCGGTCTAGAAGGCTGGATATTAGCACGCTGGATTTGGCACGCAGAGGTCCGTAAACACACGATATAAAACACGCGGTCAATATCCAGCCATCTTGACCTCCCGCACGGAAAATAACCCATATATATTTGTTAATTACTAACACCATTAGCCAAAGTGTTTCCGATAAAACAATAACTGTGGTTCTTTTGGCGCGCTTATTAGCTGATTTGTTTCTCGTCAATAAAAAAACAGACAACTTCCTGTGTGGACCATCGCGTGCAGATTGGAGAAACATTTCGTCAACTCTTAAGCGTTGCCAGTTCTCGATATAACAACGAGATTGAGGGCACTCATTCAGGCGTTTTTCATAAAGAAAATCGGTAGGAATTCCCACGATGGATTTTATGCCATCTTCAGTAAACAAGCTAAGGCTGACAATGTACAAAAGTCGCTAACCCCAGGCTGGCCACATACAGCTGTCACTTGTTTTGAAGTCACACACGGGAATTCCTTGATCACCGCCTGAAATAAAAATTAATGTTAGATGTGGTAGAGCACTGCACCAGTATCATAGAGGTAATGGTTTCGATTCCTGTTCAAGCCTGAATTTTTTCAGGCTTTTTTTTTTTCACAACTGCTTAATTTGTGTACATTACTACGATGAACCGTTATGTCTTAACAATGTAAATTGTGATGACTTTCAGGGCAGTTGGTTCAAATATATAAGGGAAAAACTATAATAGGAAGAGAGATAATGCCCTGGAAGAGAGATTATGAAGTTGAGCGATGGGCTTGCTTTAAATAACTGTAAAATTCCTTCCGGCCTCTTTTTCGCCCCAAATTAGGTTCCGCGCAAATCAAGAAACACGAGTCTGCATTCGGGTGAACGTGGCCTGCGTCACTGGATGTGATCCCGGTCTCCAGAGCTGATTCTACCTTCAGTCATGAATGTTATGCTGGTTCATTCCAGACTACCGTCACCGTATTTGTTTCCAGATTGCCCCAACAGTTTGCTCTTACCCATACAATGCGGGAGCACTTAAGAGAGCACTTTAGTGTTTTACGCAAGAACATATCACAACAATCACAATATTTGGAGACGAAGCCACGGCAGCCTTAGCTGGTTCTCATGTAGGTCCTCTATCCTGGACGAATTGGAATATGGAGTGTTGGTTTTTGAGGAGGAGAACCCGGCGAAAAACCCACGAAACAAGGCGAGAACCAACAACAAACTCAACCCACACATGCCACCGGGCCGGAATCGAATCCGGGCCACATTGGTGGGAGGTAAGCGCTCTCACCAATGCGCCATCCCTGCTCCCCACGACTCGATCTAGCGCCTTACGCGCGAATCAATTGCTCACAGTGCCTCCCAGTTATTGCAACCTTACCTGGCATAAACCAATCTCGACATTTGCAGAGTTTCGTGACGTAACGAGTCAATTTGTCCAAGAAACACTTGGATTTGCTGTAAGTGTCAAAGAACCGAAGTTTCGGCATTCCACAGTCGGTTTTGTAAGGATGCGGCAAATTGGTGACCTGAAAAAATGAAGAAAGGAAACTTAACCTAAGATGCTTTTGTGAGGGCCTAAAACTCCCCTTCCCAGCAGTGTCGGCCTCTTTATACATTTTAACACAAAACTGTGAAGCAATGTTGTGAATTTTTCCCTATTTTCTGTCCTTTTCGCCTTCTCATTTTCCGTCTCTTGTAGACTTCCCGCCCTCGCCGCCCTCCTCTACTTATCCCACTGACTCCTTCCGCATCCTAAAATCCCCCACTCATATTGTGAAGAAAATACTCCTTTACAATACTATCTACGTAGTAGCATACTTTTGTAATCTTATTAACAAAAAGCAGGTAATTGAGGAAAACTTTGTTCTTGGTGAAAAAGCGTGTTAATTAAAGCGAGTTTTGCTAATCTTCTCAAATTTTGAGCCTAAAACTTATTGACTACATGCAGTAACTGTATCTTCGCTACACAATAAACAAATTAGATTTCTTGGTGTTAATGGCAATATTCATTCACAAATTGAAGGAAACGGGTCCACCGGGTTTGAAATTCGTTAGCATTTTATTGATTTCACGCCTCCAGTAAACATACTGTGTGTCAATGACTCGAGTTGTTGCTGTGTCAGTTCCAGCGTCAGTTAAATCTTAATAGCTCAAAATGTAAAAGAAAACAAGTAACGAAAAGATTTGACGCCCTGACGAAAAAATCCCAATTACTTGGATAAGAAGACACTGCTTGTGGCAGCCACGATTTCCACTGCATGCCTGCTGCGGAGCCACTAGATAGTAGTCATTTTTTTATTGTATAACTTCTCTTCAAATGCGCGTTACTTGAGGATATTTTTTAACACACACACATACAAAAAAATTGAGAAGTTTTAAACTTGCAATCCGAGGAGCCCATTTCCAATAAATAATATTTTTCACACTCTCGTATATGTGATAAAAGTTAACCGAGCTTTCAAGATCCATAGCGAAAGGTTTCATCATTATCTATCAGCTGAAAAAAAAAAAAAATTAAATAAAAAACATTAAAGAAGCTTTAAACTTACATTCCGAGGAGCCTCTTTCAAGTAACTAATATTTTCACATTTTCGTATATGTGATAAAAGTTTCAAGACTTTCAAGATCCTTAGCGAATGGTTTCATCATTATCTCTCCACTAAATTAGCGCGCAACAACCAGTTTGCTGAAAATTGGTTTTTGAATTTCTTCGAGTAGTTGACAAATATATTAATAACATGTAATCTCTTTTTACGAGATTAAAACGCTGGCAAGGAGACAGGTCATGAATATTCAGAAATTCATCACCAAGGATTCCCTCTCTTCAGGCACCATCGCGAATCAATACATGAAGAAATACGTGGCAATTTGGAAAAGTTATCTTGTTGCAACGTTAAAATAAATATCGCACAATATCGGAATTTTAACAAATATCTAGAACTGAAATATTATAAAAAACCATATTAAGCTTTCGTGTACACTTCATGTATTTTCTTAAAAAACAATATTTACTCCCCAAATAATTCTTTCCCTGACTAATCGCTATTTACATTTTTTTTTCTTATAACGAAACGTAGAGAAACTTTGCATGTTCTCCGCCAAATGTGTTAAATTATGAGCCACGCTGCGCACAAGCGTCAGCCATGTGATCCCGACTGCGTTTGACGTTTCCAGTGGTCAACCTTCTTAACAAGACAACAGATTGCTTTTAATCAGGCATTGAGATAAGGCTTGTAGCCGATAATTTTTTCGAAAAACATTTTCACGCAATGACATCTGGTAGAAAATGGCAAACGCTCGCGAATTTGGGCGGTATTCCACCGCGGTAGAGCACCATAGTGTACTTTGTTAATGCCATAAACTTCTTCTTTTTGAAAGGACGAAGACAAAACAACATAACCGAGTACGAATACGAATTCGAAGGTTCTCTTTTATTTGGCTAAAAAAATAATGCGATAATATTAATTTCGCTTTTAAAAGCGTATAAAAACCTGTCTCACTTTGAATTCTTGATAAAGAGCGAAGCGACGTAACGGCATTATTTGAAAAGAGATTCGAATTTCCTGATTTTATTGTTTTTAATAAGTAATATTTAATAGCGTGGCTCGCGACAAAGATTTTATCACTTTTATCGCTATCATATGATCTCCTTTACCTAACTTCAACGAAAATTGATTTTCAAAAGGCAAGTTAGCTATAAAAACACTTAAAAACGTCAAAAGTTCCAACGTGTATCGAAAACAACATTACAGTTGCTTCAATTCGAAGTGTTTATTCAATAATACGAATTAAATATGCAGGCATATAATCAAAAATACATCTTTTCCCAACTGATACTGGAACGTTAGTAAGCAAAAGAGGGAAAAAACGTACCTTTCGCTTCCGAAGTTCCATGTAAGTGGTGAAACCCGGAGACACCGCTAAGCCTTGCATTTTTACTGGAGTCTCTGCTTGATCATGTAAAATTACTCTAAATCCGGCGCTCTCGACATCGTAGTAATAATCATAATGCTGTACGTCGATTAGAAGACGAAGACCTCTCTCCTGACCTGTATTTGTTGTTAGAAGAGGTGTGCCATTTTTCCCAGAATTGAACGTATAGCACACATCAGCAAAAGCGCTTTTGAACTCGGTGAAGTTCCTGTAGTCGCATTTTTCATCTTTATTCCAAGTGCAATCCAGGATCATTTCGTCGAGCCGATGCGCGGCCTTTGAAAGAGTGCTTTGCATAATTTCTCCTGTGAGCTTACTTTCAATGTCACTTCCATTTTCGCCCTTGATGTATTTAGTGACAAAAAGCTGGTCTACCAGCGTTCCATTTATTTTGGAAAGGCGGGCGTCGTTGTAATTACAGATGGAGACAGCGGGAAAAAACAGGCTGTTCTCGTAGACGATAAGCGTGGTAGTGGTGAACGGGTACTCGAAGAAATTCATAATGCTGTCGGTGCATTTTTCGAAAAATAGCGCAAACGCTCCGAGCAAGAGCAGAGTCCATAAAATACGCCGCACGGGTGGATTGCCAGAGAAGCAGAAGTGAAAACCGTGCAGGGTACACGAGTCGAGAAATGACACCCACAAATCATGAATTTTGTCCGACTTCTTCTTCTCGTCGAGAAGTTTCTTGCAACTTTCATAATCGTTGTTTTTCTTACATTTTTCATAGTCATTCTCGGGATAGCTTCCATCGACCACGGCGGGCCAATTGGTCTTGAGTGTCTCCGAAACAGCCATTTCTTTTCCATTTGCCTCAGACTTGATGTACACAACAGAAATGTCCTTCTTGCAGTGATTGCAAAACGCATACACGTTGTTAGCCCCCGTGCTTAGCTTGTTGTCGCCTCCCTTGATTATAATTTTTACATCTCCCGTGTCTTCCGCTGAAGAATCGTGTTCGTTATACAAGTTCGACATGTTTATCGAGAATGAAAGCAAAACAGCTCTTCACAGAAATTGCAAATTTTTTCTTGTTGTCTTGAGAAAATATCGTTCAGAGACAATGGAGTTCAGTCCGACGTACGTCATCGATAAAGGCCAGAAGGTATGAGATTGAAGGTATGAGCCAAAACACTTTTAAATTTTACTTATATATCCATGTTGGCCTTTAATTGAATCTATCCCGTAACTGCTTGTATAAAGTGTGCAAAACCAATCACATATTGTTCTGAGTGCACCATACCTGTTGTTCTGCCAATTAAAACGCGAATTTGCATGTCAAAAGACGTCACACATTTGGTGAGTGGTGTTGTTTCATTCAAGGTGAAATTATGACCGACAGGTGGTATCGGACTCGGGAAATACCGCACTATATCACCCTGTGACATATTTCCTTCAAATTAACTTTATCTGCCAACAAATATCGCTACTTCTCCTTCGCTTGAATGTCTAAGCAAATTGAAACCTAGAAAATGTTCGGCTTCGAGAACTTATTAACCCTAGTAATAAACTGAGAAATTGTATCTTAATAATTACGTGAATTCATTACATTTCTATCCATATTTTAAAAAATATGTGATTTATTTATCTTGCCGTATTTAAATTGCTGTAAAATTATAAATTATTGCCATCTGCCTTGTCTGCTCAGATGACAATCACCGACCGTTACTAAATATGTCCATGAAACGTACGGACAATCATTTGTCGACGAGCGGCCTGCCATTCCTGCAGCTTTGTACTGTGGGAGATTATTTCCGAGGCCTTTGAATTGTCGCTGTTCGATGATTTAGACGCGTGTGCATTATTTATTATGTGCTTTGTCCATCAAGCCCGTAAAATACCTTGAAAATCTAAAATAACACAAAACTACTCAAATACAACGCCCGGCAAAGGAACAGGTTATGAGAACTTGTAAAAAAAATTTAATTAATAGATACCTTGTTTGGTTCCGTATGTAAAGAGATTTAAAAATAAAAGTGGAAATAAGGGAGACAAAACATGGAGACTTCAAAGAGAGAAAGAGGGAAGTCATTTGCAAGTTTTAACGCCCTTGTTATCGACGAAACAACGCAAAAAAATCTCGTCAAAAATACGGCGTTAATTTTTTCACACCCCTAAAATTTTCACACTTAGTTACCGATGGTTTGCGTTATTTTTATTTCCTATGCAAATTGTTAACTTGGAATATTTTGCGAAAGAAAATTCTAGTTGCTATGAGACAAAAAGGTTTTAGCCTTTGGCGAATACAGCACTTCAACCTTGATCATTTACGAAATACAGTGAAAGATTAAAATCAAGTGTTTAATTTCCTATAAACGAAAAAGAGTTAATCTCTTTTCAGGCAAGATTTAAATTATGCGTACTGAACATTGTTTATTTCAACAGTACTATTGATATTATCAATACAATACTGCTTTCCCATAACAAGAAAATGAAAAAAAAAAACAAAAAAAAGATTCAATCAAAAATGCATACCTTACCTTCAACGAATTTATTTAGCTCAAATTTACCATTTTTTTAAGTCGGTCAAAATTGCTAAATTTGCTTTCACCAAATTAACCAACAATTAATAATTCATTTAACTGGTTTAAAAGCCGAGATTTGGCAGAAAAAAACACAAGCGATTGACTGTGTTTCTTAACAGGGAAGCTGCAACTGAGTGATTTAGGTATCCAGAACGAATTACGAAGAATTCCCAGGTCACGCTTTTTTTTTAAAAAGAAGAAAACAAGCAGTAGAAGGCATGGAAACGGAAAAGAAAGGGAAGAATCATAACTTTCTGTTAGAACAAACACGACAGCACAATCCACACAATCCACACAATCCACAGAATTTCAACAAACCAGCATTATTAGGTTTAGCGATTAATAAGAGACCCTGAAATTGCAAAATAACCGCGACTAGATAAGATTAGAATAACGAACGGGCACAATTAACACCAAAAGAGAATAAAAAAAACATTTTAAGAATTGACTGGAAATTGCCGACGTTGGACGCTAAAAACCACCACTACAGAAGACAAAACAATATGAATAACGACTCAATAAAGTTTTGTAACGAGGGTTAAGCACGTTGGATCTCTTGGAAGGTGATTTTTCTCATGCCGGGAATCCGAAATTGGTGGGTTTTGTTTACTATACAAAGAATAAAACAAGATTGTTGTGAAATCAGCAGTGGCGCAGTTGCTGTCAGTGTTGGAAGTTTTCTTTGTGAACCCAAAGGTCGTGGTCTACAACTTGGGACTGATTCCTATCTTGAGTGAGGGCTTTGTCTTAACGTCTGTACACACAAGAAAACAAAAGAAGCACCTTCATAAATAGTAACTACTATACTCTAAAACAATACATTTTAACTCAAGAACAACATTGTCCGCTACATCTACATTGCAAACATCCTGGAGAAAATGAGGTTTTCTTTTTTAGCCATAAATTGTTGGGCCGGCACGAACAATCAAGAAGAAAGTATTGATTACGTGATTTCCGCATTGTAATTTGCCGTCATTTTGAATAAGAAATTTATTTTACTTGTGGGAATATTATTTGATACGTACTACTTTTGTGTGGAAGATAAACTAACTAAACATATAATGGTTAATTTCAAGCTACACTTGCTCAGTACATCTGGAAGGACAAAGAGATGCAAAGATGGCCAAAAATCAGACTGATTCTTCCTAAACGTGTGGGGAATAAAACTGAAAAAATTGAGAACTTTTGTTCCATTTGAAGCTGATTGGTGGCCATGATTGGTGACCATAGGTTTATTCCGATATCAAGAAGCAAATGTTCACATAGACGCTAAAAGCATCTTCCGAATTTAGTGCTGTAGGCAGTTTTCCACATTTAGTGTTAAAAACACTTTTCCACACTCATTGCTCTAATTGTTGGATTTTTTTACTGCCGCTGTTTTTCTGCGAAAAGTTTCCAAAATATAATTTCAGAATTTCGTCAGAATGGTTAAAAAACCTTGTACGTGGGAACTAATGTAGCTTTTTTAAAATCTTGGTTTGTAATGTTCCATAGGAAACTGTCAACACTTGTAGAACGGGTTCTTTTCATGAGGCGAGTGAGTTCCATCAGAACGTATCTCAGAGGGCTGGACTATAACGCAGAACTGAAAGAAATGATTCCATCCACAGCTTTTCAATCAACTAAGTGACACCAATAGGGACAAGAAAACCAGAACAGATAAAGTAAGCAACGACCGATCAATCACTCACTGCCCGTTGAGGAAAGGATTTATCCAGTGTCACGGCAAAGGAAAACAGACAAGGCAATCTGCTATTCCGACAATGTTTAGCAAGAACAGTTTGTTTCCAAATCATCATCAAACTGCACATAATATAAAGTGTCTAGAAAGAAAACATTTGAACAAATGTCAGCAGGATAGCACCCTTCAAAAGGAATCTGGGGCCCACTCTTTAGATCTTGTTAACTGACTGACGTAAACAAGGCCGACATTTACTTAAAACTGTCTTTTGGTGCTCACACTGTCAACATTTTAACTACAGGCCACATAAAATTCAACTTGAGTTAACCCTTTTCTTGTAAACACAGGGTCGTAAACATTTAATGCAAAAACCGTCTCTCCGGACCTACGCGTGATTTGGTTGCAGTGACACTTGTCCCTGTTTAAAGTAGTGAAAACGTTAAAGTATCGACCCCAAACTATGTTTTCAGGCTGCCTACGCGAGATACGTTCACACTTGTTCTGTTTATAAGTTTACCAGGAAAGGAGAAGTGAAAACTCCTGTAGAAAGTGACGGGGAGATACAGAAGATATTTCATGATGTTTTAATAAGCAATTTAAATATTTTTGGTGGTCATAAGTTTGCAATGGTGTTTTGGAGATTCGAGAGGCGGCTAGTAGTGTCCTTAGAGGCATTTTAGGAGAGGGGGTAACAAGATTCACAATAAAATACAAAGAATTGGAAAAAGCTGCCTCTGATATTATTGTAGAATATGATTATTCAGTTCATGAAATAAAATTCATTCTATAAAAAAATCATTATCTCATATTTTGGACATGAAGCCCAAAAAATTAAAGAGTATTAATATAATTCAAACTAGGATGACATCAAAAAATTAGGAATTGAGGTGGAAAAAATGATCAAATTTTAGAAATTTTTGGTTGAATGACTTTGTATTTTTTTTCACTATTATAATATTGGTTGTATCATGGGTCTCCGCAGGCGCTGCACGCTATACCCTTTATTAGTATCACCCAACTAGTGGACTGATGCAAATCCTGCATTTTGATTGACTACGCTACTAGGGGACTATTAGTAATAGTCATCGAGTAGCGAAACTGGCGCCATCGAGCGTGACGCTCTCTTTCGTTTTATTCCCAAATAAATATTTCTTCAACTTGCATTTGCTAACTTTATTATTACCTTTTCTGTCCGACTAGTTGGGTGATACTAAAACA